CTGGCGGAAGTTGGAGGCGTTCATAGGCTTCATGAGCTCCACCAGCTGTGTGTCCGAGACTGCAACATAGGTTGTAGGGCCGCAAAACGATCGTTCAAGGTATCGATGGCTCTCGAGGGTTTCGACCATGGTACACAAGTAGAGATACGAATCGCGTGTCTCATTGAACAGGAGGTGGTACGCGTTCTCTTGGATGTACAAGCGAAATTTTTTGATGAGCTCGCGCCTTTCCGAGTAGACTACCATTTTGCAAAGTTTCGAGGACATAGATGCAGCGGTTGTCGAGTTATGACGGACGCGAACGAGGTGAGTTTACATGAATCTACCCAAACGACGCGTCTCTGGCGAGACACGACCTCCACCGACCTCCACTTTTTGCCTCCGCTAATCGGTTTGGGCATTAACCGTTTTACCCCAAAGAGGTGCATCAATATATTTTCATTTCAAACCGTTTACAATTTGCCTCCGCAAGTTAAAACGTGTTGCAACCCTCGTTTTTGACTACCCCTACTGCGACTGCTAATCCGGTCATACGCCAGATCCAGAGCAGCTCGCTACGCTCGCTGCCCGCTGTCCCGCGGACAAGGGCCCACTTACGAACTGACGATCAGGTCCCTCGTTCTGGCCCCTGGCTGGCTGTCTGGAGGTGACTGCGCAGTGCGACACGCTATCTCTGCGCTCTCGATGATTTCCAAAACCTTGGGACCGGGCCTGCGATTCATGTCTCTCCCTCGTAGCGAATTGCAGCATACCCTCGGTACCACCAAGCATCTTGCTGCGGCACGAAAGCAGAGCCATCCGATCGAAAGACATGACGCGGCTACACGCTTGCGTTCCGTCCGACAGGCACTAACTGCATAGAGAGTTCTCATTCGCCATCCGGCCGCCATCTGGCGCCCAGTATACGCCAGGCTGCGCAACGAAGAAGCCCAACAACGTTCGACTGGGCGATAGTGGGTCACCCACCTGGGGGCCTGGGATGAGATCGACGCAACGTGCGTCCACGCGTGGTCGCTATGGCGGTGCGATTGCGATTGGCACAGTGTGCCGGGTCTCGCGGCCTAGAGGGTCTGGAAAGCAGCACATCATCCCCACCCGATCGGGCGTCACTTGCTGCCGCCTGTTCTATATAAACATACTCGAGACACGAGCGTCATCCCACTTCTCTCTATCTTCTACCACACATTCTAAACTAAACCGCAACAATGTCTGGCGTGAGTGTCCGCTTTCCTCTTTCTCTCCGAGCTCCGTGTCTACTGTGGTGTGTGATGGCGTCGTCGCTGGCCGACACTGTTGTCGTCAACCGCACAAATGTCGCTCGCTGCGCCCTCCCGCCTTGTTGCATCAGTGGTGTTGACACCTTAGCTGTTTGACAAACTGAAGGACACGGTCGAGGACCAGCTCAACAAGGGCAACGTGAGTTGTAGGCTTGCTGGCTTGCTGGCGATGACGGACTCGGATCTCGGCGTCTACTACTACGTCACTGGTGCAGCCATCACGTGATGCACCCCGACGCCGCAGTGGCATGTGCAGCTCGAGTGGCACTACAACCAGCTTCCGCGCCTTTGGGAGTCAAGCTGACAGCAGTTCGGCTCCAACAACGACTCGTACGGCTCGAACAACAACTCGAGCTACGGCTCGGGCAACAACGACTCGTACGGTTCGGGCAACAACGACTCGTACGGCTCTGGCAACAACAATAGCTCGTACGGCTCGGGCAACAACAACTCCAGCTTCGGCTCTGGCCGTGACAACGACAACTCCTACGGTTCGTCTGGTCGTGACAACGACAACTCCTACGGCTCGTCTGGCCGCGACAACTCCTCGTCCGGCTTCGGCGGCTCCTCGGGCCGCGACAACGACTCGTACGGCTCGGGCAACCAGTCGTCCGGCTTCGGCTCTGGCCGCGACAACGACAACTCGTACGGTTCCTCCGGCCGTGACAACGACCGCAACCAGTCCTCTGGCTTCGGCTCTGGCCGCGACAATGACAACTCGTACGGCTCCTCTGGTCGCGACAATGACAACTCGTATGGCTCCTCGGGTCGTGACAACGACAACTCCTACGGCTCGTCTGGCCGCGACAACAACTCTTCCGGCTTCGGCGGCTCCTCCGGCCGCGACAACGACAGCTACGGCTCGGGCAACCAGTCGTCTGGCTTCGGCTCCGGCCGTGACAATGACAACTCGTACGGCTCTTCCGGCCGCGACAACGACTCCTACGGCTCGGGCAACAAGTCCTCGGGCTTCGGCGGCAACGACGACTCGTACGGCTCCTCCGGCCGCCAGGGCCAGTCGGGCGGCTTCGGCTCGTCGGACAATGACTCTTACGGCTCCGGTCGCCAGGGCCAGTCCGGTGGCTTTGGCTCCAACGATGACAATGACTCGTACGGCTCTGGTCGCCAGAACCAGTCCGGCGGTGGCTTCGGCGGCCAGTTCTAGGAGGCTCGCTTGTGCACAAAGTCAGTAGGATCAGTGGGAAGAAGTAAAATAAACAAATATCGTAGAACGTTATGCGAGACCATTACGACACCACGTACAACACGGATGCTGCCTTCGCCCCCTTGCTCCCAGTCATCTGGCACATTACATCATCACGTCCTAATCTACCGTCCCTCATCTCTACTCGCTCTTGGCATGTCCGTGCCGGGCAGCCTGCTGGCGCTCGAGCGACGGCGAGCCGGAACGCGGTGTGTCCGTCGGCGTCTCAAACTCGTTGATGATGTCGCGCAGAAGGTCGTCAGGCGAGATACCCTGGTCGCCGACACTCTCGAGGTCGTGACGGACCCACTCGAGGTCCGTGTCCTCGCCATCGGGGTTCTCCTCACCCTCTCCCTCGCCATGCTCGGGCACCCGCTCCTCGGTGATGAGCACCTCCCGCCTGCGGCTGGCGGCCGATGCTGTGCTTGCGGATCGCGTCGCGGGCCTGGTCCTCGAGGACCTCCGCACGCTCGTCGGCGCGCTCGGCCAGGTCGCCCGCGACACCGGCAGGTCCGAAGTCGCCCGCGTCGCCTGCGGCTGCAGTGTCGATTTCGATGGAGCGGCGACGGACGAGGCCCGTCTTCTTGCCCGTGTCGACGTCGCTGCTGCGGCCGGCGACGAGATCGTCCTGCGGCGTAGGGGGCGATACGGAGACAGAGGGCACGACGCCGGGCGCACCGGGCTTGCCGCGGCTGTAGAGGCCGGACTTGAGCCACCGCCGTCCGCCGAAGTGTAGGAAGCCGAGCGTGGCGAAGATGGCAACGTGCGCGTACCACCAGCAACGCGTCCAGGCGGACACACTCGCCTTGAAGTCGAGCAGGAGGAAGGCAGCGGCGAGGTAGTTCAGAGTCACCTGCACATTGAACCAGCCGACCACGTCGTAGGCCTTCTTCGCCAGCGCGGGGTGCGACCAGTGAGGCACGTCCTTCGCCGCTCCAGCCGAGCCGGCAGGGAGGAAGTAGGGACGGATCAGGTGGCGGAACTGACGACCGAGGTAGGACAGCAGGCCGGCCGTAACGAAGGCGACTGGATGTCAGCTTCAGAAGACGAATGAAAGGCAGCTTGAAGAGCTCAGCCTTAAACTCACGGTAGTATCCAGGGGCAATGCCGTGCCAGAACGCGCTCGTGATGAACGTAGCCATGCTCTGCGCGCTGCCGGGCTTCTGGCCAGGCTTCGCCAGGCGCTTGTAAACATTGTCGCGGAGCCAAACGTTGGTGCGGCAGTTCCAGCTGTCGAGGAGGACCTTGTAGCTCTCGGCCGTCTCGATGCGGATGATTTGAATGTTGCGCACGCGGTTCCAGCGCGTGCGGCCAGTCTTCGGGTCGTAACCGTTGAAACCGATGCCAGTCAGAATGCACGCGCCGTCACTGAGAGACCAGACAGCGTAGTACTTGGTGCGCGCGCAGAAGCCGCAGAATTGCACGAACGCGAAGCGCGTCTTGTGCGACCACGTCCACCACGCAGGGCTGTTGATGCGAGCGTAGTCGCCGCGCGCGCCCAGAATCGCATAGAGAGCGAGGAAGAAGAGTCCGAGACAGAGATGCAGGTAAGCTGTGCGGCGACGACCATGAGGAGTGCGGCGGCGCAGGGGCGTGCCGTCTGGAGCAAACTTGGGCATGTCATACAGCTGGTGGTTGACCATGTCATCGTACGTCTTGTACTCAAACGCGGGGCCAACGAGCACCGTGGGGAAGAAGAAGCAGTAGCCCAGGTACGCAAGCGGCGACGGCAGCTTTGTCAGGCGCGTCGAGAGCTGGCTGGCGTCGAGCGTCTACCGTCAGCTTAACAACGATCCTGAGAGCTTACCTCGGGACGCCGGCGACCGTCATGCACGTTCCAAGCGAACGTCGTCAATTTCATAACTAGCACCATCTCCATAGCCGAGATTTCGATCGTAGACACTGGGACATGGTTGAATGTCCTCCTGATATGGCTATCACGCGTCAGACAAGCCGCCAATCCACACTAGCGTGAGTCTATAGCCACTTACATGATTGTCAGGTGCCCCATGGCAAAGCTGTTGCACGTTGTCAGCTATCTATTGACAGAGACTGGCGAGTTGGACTTACAGGAAGGCGATCCATGGCATGTTCTTGCTCTTGACAATCGCGACGATGAGATACACCACCATGCTAACGATGATGAGTTCAATGTAGCCGCGCCATAGTCCAAGAAGTGGTCCGAGGAAGATCGTTGAGATTGTCAGAGAGAAGATGTGAGCCCAGTTCGGGTGCTTGGCCGGGATGCGGATGAAGATCGATGCAAGCGGGTAAGAGACCAGGAGTGCCGCAATAAGCTGAGATTAGCTTAGCCCACGACAACAATACGTTGATTCTCTAAGAGAAGTTGAGGCCGTCCTTGCTGGACTCCACGAGCAGTCCACCACGGCGCGATCTCGGAGCGCGAAGCGCGGAGCGACTTTTCGTGAAGCGCTACATACCTTGATCTGGTCCGGCGGCGAGCCTGTCTTCTCCGAGAGCGCGTTGAAGAGAGGATCCCAGAACATGGTGTTATCGGTGCAATGCCTGGGTCGATGCGCCGGAATGAAGTGGGGAGCGATGAAGCAAACGTCAAGGTGGGATCGACGGCTTCCTAGGGTCACTGACGAGAAACGGTCACCCATGCTCTGACGTCGTTGCTTTTACGCGCCGCGGGCCGACTTTTTGATCCCGCACACGTGGTTTGCCCGTCTCTGACTCTTGCCTCGAGCGCTTATGCATTAACGCATAAGAGAATACCTGCCAGGCAGCCTCGAGAGAGTAGAGTAGCATTGAGCATGCATACACTGCGCGTTATGCATGGCGCTCCTGACGTGTGGAGGTGGAGTACATTGAGCGTGCCAGGAAGTGGAGGTGTGTTCCTGGCGCCCCGTGCCGCTTGGGCGTCAAAAGTTGGCCACCTGAAATTCACGTCTACTCAACCTCCACAACAATGACGCGAGTAACCAAGAAGGTGTCCCCGTTGACCAAGCCATGTGAGTCCTCGAAACAGCTGCCATGCTGCCAACTGGAAGCTGACCGCAGCACGGCGGCTGCTCTGTCTCGGTCTCGAGGGCAGCGCGAACAAGCTCGGCGCCGGTATTATCAGTCACACGCCGACGGAGAACGGTACTCTCGTCACCGTCCTCTCGAACGTCCGACACACCTATGTCACCCCGCCAGGAGAGGGATTCCTCCCCAGTGACACTGCTCGTCACCACCGCGAGTGGGTGATCCGCGTCCTGCGCGAGGCTGTCAAGAAGGCTGGCCTCCGGTTCGGCGACCTCGATGTTATCGCCTTCACGAAGGGCCCCGGAATGGGCACACCCCTGCAGGTTGGCGCGCTCGTAGCGCGAACACTCAGCCAGTTGTATGACATTCCGCTTGTTGGTGTGAACCACTGTGTTGGACGTGAGTGCTCTCTCTTACTCCTTCTCTTGCTCCTAAAGTCGTCGGCTCACGCATGGTGTTCCATGACGCCCTGTCTTCCCTGTCTTCCTCGCCTTCCCCGCTTATATGAGCTACGCGTTGGCACTTCAGCTGACAATCAGATATTGAGATGGGTCGGCACATTACGAACAGCCAGAACCCGATCGTGCTCTACGTCTCAGGCGGTAACACGCAGGTGATCGCCTACTCGGAGCAGCGATATCGTATTTTCGGCGAGACGCTCGACATCGCCATCGGAAACTGTCTCGACCGCTTTGCGCGTGTTATCAACCTCCCCAATGACCCGAGCCCGGGCTACAACATTGAACAGGCAGCGAAGAAGTGAGTGACATAGTGTCCAGTTGTGTTTGCGGCCCTAGCTGACAGACAGGGGAAAGCGTCTCATGCCGCTGCCTTACGGCACAAAGGGAATGGACATTTCGCTGGCGGGCATTTTGACGGGCGTCGAGGCGTGGACCAAGGACCCGCGATACCGATCATGGGACGACGTACCGGCCGCGTACTTTGAGGACGGATTCGACGAGGACATCATCACCCCCTACGACCTCTGTTTCTCGCTGCAGGAGACGACGTTCGCGATGCTCGTCGAGATCACGGAACGCGCAATGGCGCACGTCGGTAGCGCGGACGTGCTCATCGTCGGCGGAGTCGGGTGCAACCTTCGTCTGCAGAACATGATGGGCATCATGTGCGGTGAGCGCGGCGGCAATGTTTTCGCGACCGACGAGAGCTTCTGTATCGACAACGGCGTCATGATCGCCCAGGCGGGCATGTTGAGCTGGCGCATGGGCAAGACAACGCCGGTGGAGAAGACCAGCGTCACGCAGAGGTAAGCTATCTTTGGATCAGACCATAGCTGACTGGCAGGTTTAGGACGGATGCTGTGCACGTTGCTTGGAGGGCGTGAGGGAGGAACACGGAGCGTGGGATGCTGCAAAGGGTGAGCTTCAATTCGTGTGGGCGCGAGCTGACCACCAGAGCGTGCCCGTGGAACAATCGAAGGGCTGGTCCAGCTATCGCCACGAGTTGCCCGAGGCAAGTAGAAGATGTACATTGTATGCAAGTGCTCGGCAGAAATCAAACGTCCAGTCTACTTTCAAACGCCGCCCCGGGTACTGGATCATCGTAGCTTGGCAAAGACGACCAACTTAATCAGTCTGGTGGGTCGAATTGTTGCATGTAGCGAATTGTGCAGCCGTGGTAGTGCGCAGGCGTCTGTGTGTCCTTGGAGCGTGACACTGCACATCGGGCGTTCTGCCTGGGCAGCGGCAGCGGCGATCGAGCCTTTCGTGAACACGGCGCCTCATCTTTCAAGTCACGGCTCACGGCCTGTAAGCCTTTCCTGTGGTCGCCCGAGTTGCGACCAGCCATGATAGGGCCGCACCGACGACACGTCAGTGATCGACGGCTATGGCCGGTCAAGCGATTCCCACAGTTGCTCCGGCCGCCGCGTTTTCTTGTCCGGGTGGTTGCACAAACGCGTTGTCGCGTCTAAAGAATCTTGCACAGCTTTCGACTTCTGACGCCGATCTTTGACCCAGATGATCGGTAGACAGGCCTGTGCCTGAGTTTGCCACCCCGTCCTGCCACGCGAGCAGGCTTGCGGGCCAATGGATGGGTGCGGCTGCTGGCTGGCAAATGAACTGACGGGGATCCATGACGTATTACGCCAAGAAGCCCGATCACACAGGCCTCGGGCGAGCTGCCTTTGTCTGCACCTGTCGACGGGCGTCTCCTTGCTCCGAGCCAGCGTCACAATCAGCCCTCACCCACCCACTCCAACCGTCAGCCGCAGCCGCTACATCTCCACAAAGCAAGGAAGCTTATAATGACCCGCTGGTCACACTCCCATCTTCCTTCTTACCATCACAACCACCACAACCACCACCGTCACTTACACGTCCCGTCAGCCCGCGCAATGGCAGACGCCGAATCCTTCCTCCTCCTTACCCTCCCCGGGGCCACCGTCACCCAGGACTTCCAGGGCGACCAGATGGTTCTGGCCAAGGGCGAGCTTGCGTGAGTGCAGTGCTAGCTTCCGGAGTCTCCTGCTGTTAGCTGACAACAGAATTGACTGCGTGTCGCTCCCCATCCCGCCCGAGATTGGTCACCAGACGGCCAACCCGTTCTCGAACACGGAGCCTAACCCGACGCACGACCTCTGGCTCGTTCTGAAGGTCGGCCATGACTTTGAGAACACGCTGGTGCCGGAGAACTTCCTCATCCCGCGCGCCCCGCAGCGTGCGGGCGAGGGACCGAGCTACACGGTCCGCTCCCCCGACATTCCGGGTGCAAGCCTGACGCTGTCCCTGCAGCCGCCGCATTCGCTCGGTGAGGCAGAGGATTTGCAGACCTACGAGACGCTGCTGCAGCAGTACGGTGCGCTGAAGCAGGGCGAGAGCGCTCTCACCGGTGTTCACCTGCCGATGCTTGTGAACAAGGGCGAGGACCAGAAGGCCCACCCCGCTCCCGTCGGTGGACCCTCCACTGGCGCAGCTGTGGCTGGTGGCGCTGCTGCTGGTGCGGCCAGCGCGGCTGGCTCGGGCGCATACGGCCAGTATGACGAGAAGCACCCACCGCCGCCGGCGCAGCTGGAGGGCGACGCCACCAACGACCTCAAGGGCAAGCTTGTGCTTGTCGACCAGGACTCGGGCTCCGTTATGGGCGAACTCGATGCGCCTACGGTCGCCCATGACGTGCACAACCAGGACCCGCATGCGCCCGTCTTCGTCGACTTCGACATGGCTGAGAAGTACGTCGGCCACCCTGTCGAGGTCACGCGCATCCCGCCCGAGGAGCTGAACGACTCGACCATTCTCTGGACGGCCGACAAGCTGAGGTAAGTGAAGGAGAGGGAAAGCGCAGCATAATCCAGGGCGTGGATATACACCCCCAGCTATTGTGGGCGTGATTATAGCTGACATCAGCCGCGGCATCTTGTGGTTCGGTGACGCCGGTGCGTCTGCGCTTCGCTCCGGCGCCGGTGCCTTCGTGAAGCGCACCCTTCCTCGCCCCGAGCCGATGCACTTCTCCGACACAACCCGTAAGAACCTGGACCGCACCTACCGCACGACCGCCGGAGCGTCGCGCGTGACCCGCTCAACGCTGAACAGCGTGCACAATGTCATTGCACACCTTGTCTCGAAGAAGGACGCCAAGGAAGCCGGTGTCCCCGCCGAGTCTACCGGCCAGAGGCTCCGTGCCGAGGCTGGATCGGCTTACAACACGCTCATGGACGTCGGTGGTCCGGCACTCAACAAGCTCAAGGCGAAGGCTGGCTACGGTTCTAGCTCGGGATACTCTTCTCCCGCGACAAGTGCCGGAGGCAAGCCGCCCCTGCCCACTAGCGAGAAGCCGCCCCTCCCGACCAGCGAGAAGCCTCCTCTTCCCCCTCGTACCGGAGAGGAGCCCCCTGCGTACGGTACCGCCGGCGCTTCCGGTGCCTACGCCTACGACCGCAAGGACGCCACGGGCACTCCCGGCGCCTACGGCCAGCAGCAGGCGTACATCCAGACTTCGCAGCCGGGCAGCGGCGCCACGACCCCGTCGGGCAAGAAGCGTCCTCTCCTGAACCGTTCGCTTCTCGCCGTCGACTCTGTCCTGTCCTCGCTCGAGGCCGCCACGAACCAGCTCATTTCGTCGGGTACCTCCGCCGCCTCCCAGATGGCGACGCACAGGTACGGTGCCGAGGCGGGAGAGGCCGTGGCCCAGGTCGGCGGCTCGGCACGCAACGCCGTGCTTGTGTACGTTGATGTGCGCGGAATGGGCCGCCGCGCAATCCTCAAGTCCACGGCCAAGGGATACGTCAAAGCGCGCCTCCGCAGCGGCGAGAAGGTCGAGCTGCAGGGCCCGGGCCAGAACCAGCAGAGCCAGGCCCAGGTCGCGAGCCAGCAGACGATCGGCGGCGCCGGCCCGAGCCAGGCCCAGGGCGCCGGCGGCAACGGCCTCTACGGGCACGGGAAGCAGGACATTGTCGTCGACGTGCCGCAGATGAAGAAGTGAGCCTCACACCGAAGCTCGTGCGGTAGCGCGTGACATAGACACCTTCCGACTTTTGTCTCTGGGAATAGGGGCATCGGAGAGTATTAAGAGAGCAAGCTTCGAGCGTGATCACGAGAAGTGATCGACAGGAGGTACCTTGCCTCGGTAGAAGATGTGGGAAGAAGTGATCTTGTAGAAATGAAAGTGCCACACCCGGGTGGTTCGCAGCCGAGGCAACCTGTCGGGCCGGCATCAGCGGCGCCGGCGAGTATGACATACCCACGATCTTAGACATGCAGACACGATATCCATGATGCACAGTGAGGCTAGCACTTAGGTGGAGCGGTCAGCAATTATGGAGCGGAACTGTGCCAGGTGGTGGCGACCTCTCATGAGAACACCCCTCATGAGAACGGGCAGCGTGAGAGGCGGTGTGGGAGGCGAGAGGAGTCGCGAGAATAGAACATCGTGGGAGAGGCGGGGCAGTCCGAGATCTCAGGACCCGAAAAGGCAGCAGCCCTCATGAGCGGGGGCACAAGGAGAGAGAATGAAACTGCCACGTAAAGGCAGCAAATACACGCACGGCGGAATGACCTCGTGGAATGCTGGGGGCGAAATGCGCGGAATGGGCAACATAAGGACGAGGGTGGCGGAATGAAAGGGCCCTGCAGCGCTGCAGCCCTGGTGGAATGCGGAGGACTGCGCACCGGGCGTACGATATTGCGTATGAGGCGGAGATGGGAGAGAGGTGAGGCTTACATTCTTGGCATACCCTTCGTCCTGTTCGTGCGTTGGCGCGCCGGCAGCAGGGACGGAGGTTAAGGAAAGGAAGAGACGGCCAGCGCCGACCGCCCGGGTCAGTCTATTCGGGAACCGTAGGGGAGTTCTGGCAGTTCTCTCATGTGGCATGCGCCCTCTGGGCAATTGGCGGTGCCATGGGTATCGTGCTCCTTCGCGTCAGAAGGTTCAGCGTCATGTCTCGGATACGAGGCGGACACGCTAATGACCGAGGCATGTCTGCTGTTTATAGCTCGCAGACGTGGCACGCCCGCTGTACTGGAGTCGTTTGGGGGTGCTCGTCTGCTGGTCGCGGATGACGAAGCGCGACGCATCTAGGGGCATGAGGTCGTCGGAAGTCACATTGCCTGGCCAACGGTTCTGCTGTAGTGTGCTATGTCGACGCAGCCTCCGCTACGAGTGTGCAGCGTTAGGCAAGGGGGTGGTTGGAGGAGGAAGCGAGCACAACACTGTCCGAGGCGTAATCCGAGCGCGCAAATTTCAAAGTGTGCCCATGAGAGGATCAATGACTGGGCATAATGTTGTAGAAGTCCGTAGTGCAAGGGATGCAGACATATCAGAGCAAAGGCGAGAGAATGCCGCTTCGAACTCGTGTTCGGCACTCGACGCGACAATTCAGAAATAATTCGATTATTGCGCCAATGTGCAACACCCAATCCAAGAGTCATTCGCTTCACGATAGCAATCGGATCGCAATGTCTAGTTTGTGATTATGACGAGGACGATGGGATGCGCGAGTTCTGCTGGATCCCTCGGTCAGTGTGGATCGGCAATGTGGAAAGCGAACAAGTGACCTGAACTGTTGGTGGGAAAGGATAACTCAGAGTGCGAAATGTGCCATAACCGAGGATACACAGGGGAGGCGAGGGCGGAACGTGGAACGCAAGATCTCGCTGCGGACGGGCCGTAGCTTGTACGCGCTGCGGCGGTACATGTCGAGCGCGTCGTCCGGATGACGGGAGGCTGGCACCGCGTGTGGCACTTGGGCTGTTATCGGAGGTCATCAAAATGTCACGTTGGCATTCTACCGAGCTTCAAAGTAATGCGATAATAAGCCATTTGAAGAGATGAAGACCTTAACCCAACTCTGGACAGATTGCAGGCGTGACGAGAGCGATCAGATCAGATATCAATGCTCGTTGACCCGAGTAGTGGGCGGGCGCGGAAGAGGGCATAGTTCGGACTTGACGAAGAGGCTAATTTCTACGAGCTTACAGGGATCGGGGAAAGCAATGCTGCTGTTCAGTTGCAATGGACAAACCAACGTGACTCTTTCGAACTACTAGTGACGGTGATGAGGCACTCTGTGACGTGTTAGGATACAAGTCTAGACCGATGCCCGCAGCTCCGGCACGGCCATGATGAAGGCCCCCGAATGATGAATGCGGCGAGCTCAAGAATATCGGCATTATTCCACTGCTGCACACCGCACCATGTCCGAGGACACAGGTGGGGATGTGGAGTGAGACGGCGTCACAATCGATTGTCAGGCAGCCATTCCGCTCAGAGTTTAACGGAATGGGTGTGCGACCAAGCGGATTGCGCGAATTAGTAACCTCAGCCTGCGGAGGCGCCGGAGTTGACGGGCTCGGTGCTGCGCACCGAGGCACTGGCCGTTCAGCCCCGAGACCGTCCCACGGCTCCCGTCCGGGTGAGACGCCCGGAGACGGGAGGTTCGGAGTGTGGCACAAGTGACACTGGCATGGCTCGTCGGGTCAGTTTCGCGTGTTACATTCCGCACTTATTTCCTTCTCCCTGGCCTCCGCCGTTCATGTGCCCTGGAGGATCTCAGTTTCCATGAGCACGATTGGGTGAGAAGAAAGAGATCGGTCCTTTCAAACCTTGACATTCGGCACGCGGCATGTGAGTCCTCGGACATGGCAGCGAATGCACGGCCCTGCCCTAGACACGCTGCCGCCGCATTCCGACCCCCTTGCCCCTTCACCTATACTGGGTCTTCCGCAGTCGAGAGCGGTGGCGACGGACGGGAACATGGGAGAGGAGGGCCTCCAGATCTACTTGCCGGAATGCGGCACACAACTGCGGAGCGTGGCAGGTTGGTCTCTCACGAAACATCCGGCTCCCAGCTCCCCCCAGGATAACCAGCGTCTCCTCTGCTACGGAGCACTAGACGCTACTGGATTCTGGAATATCTCTGGATTAATCGCGTGCTGCATTTGCTGCCACTGCGCACTGCTCTCGGCGCTCGAGCTCGGTGTGTCTCAAACCTGAAGGGTGCAGTTCCAACGGAGTTGTCAACAGTGACTGACGTCATACAGAGTGTCAGCGCCGCATACCGCAGCCCGCCCTGCCATCCTGCTCAGAGTGGGTAAAGTGGGGAATCCGCTGTACTGCAGTTGGTTGGCAGGTCGGTGTCATGCGAGCGGTCATGCACAGTGACCGATGCATGCACCGAGGTCCGTTCAGCCGTTGTTTGTGCACGTGCCGAGTTGCCCGCATTATGCATCTCCGACTCTGCACACAAACGCCGGCTCTATCTACGTCTCGGCAGCCTGGTGCTTAATCGGGAACAGGGGAGCGCGAAAATGAACTCTGCGTGCTTTTCATTAATTAGCCAATCCATCTGACAGCTGACTGCCGCTCAGTTGGGTTGGGTTATTAATGAAGCATGCTGCTGGTCCGCTGGACTCGCTCCTTGTTCGGCTCGGCGCACTGGTGTCATGCTCTCTCTCTTCCGCGCGGAGAGACCGAGGTCGCCGATACGAAGCCATGCTTTGGTTGCCGGGTCTGCTCAGGGCTTATGCCGGGATAGGTTCGGCGGGCTCGGGGTAGTCACCGGCCCCACTATGCACCGCACTTTGCTGGCTGCTCCACCGGAGTGCATACTCTGCAATGCCGGGATTTACGTTCGGTGCGTACGGACACGTGTGCATACTCGCCGAGAAGTCGCTCCGGAAGCGCATCGATATCAAGCTCGCGAGGAGGCACGCAAAGGTACGGGCAGCTGTTCGGGCGCTCCACTGGCCGACGACCCAAAGAAACACACGAGCTCCCCCACGCTCGGGCGATGTTGGCAACGGATATGACGGCGTCGGGCAAGACGGGGAAGGCTCCTGATCGCTCCTGATCTCCTGAGGTTCGGGGGCCAGACTCGGTCGTGCACGCCTGCAGGGTTGCTCTGCAGATTAAACACGGCATGCTGATTTCGAATGCGCAGCAAGCTCGTCTACCTGCACGACCCAAGTAATAACAGAACTGGACGACCGGAACACTGTTCGGGAATCCGGCATGCCGACCAGATCACGGCAGCTGCCCCAGCTGAGAGGGACAGGCACGCCATCCTGGATGTAGGCGTGATGTAACGTTGCAATGTCTTGCATCATGAATCTGCGTTGAGATGCGCATAAAGTGGAAACTGAGTTGCATCACAGAAACATCGAGGTATGAAGGTACACAGTGTGTGCCTGGAACGTCACAGCGATGAGGGGCCAGTTCACTAGGCTCGATTTCACCGATCACCGCCGTCCAGCCCCGTCGCCGCGCGGAGGAAGGCGTCCCCACCCGGCGTCGGTGTCAGGCAGCGGAGTCGGGCTGACATCTGGCAACCCCACTCCGCATACGGGCCCGGACTCTGGTGGAGTCCGCAGGCAGTCTCCCCACGTCAGGTCCGATGTGGGACAGCGCCGGTGCCGACAGCCTGTCGGACCGCTGCAGCCTTCCTCTCCGCGCCGCTGCCGTTGTCGGCGCTCGCCGTCGGCCCCGCCCAACGGGTATCACTGTGCCAACTCCGACCTGCGCATCCTTAGCGTCTCGGCGATGCTTGCCCCAGCATAGTGTCTGGCTCACCAAAGCTCGGCGCCGTCCGAGGCGCATACTTTCACACTGGCGGACTCCCACTGCCACTTTCCGGTCGTACCACTTCAGACTAAAAACACCCACCATCTCCACCAACTCTCCCCTCACTCAGAGAAGCAAGTGGTTACGCATGGAAGTAACCGGCCCGTTTCCACGGCGCCCAGGGAGCTCCAAGTGGTTACATCAGCCACAGTGAGAGAACAATAAGCGATGAATACCGCCACAGCCACAGCACGCCGAGCGCCGCCGCCGCACTCTGAGCACTGACTGAAAACACTGGGAAAGGGGTAAAGCAAGTTGCCAGATCTGGCGGCGGTGCGATGATCCATCAACATGCCTTGGGTATGGGGCCAGACTCGCCAATCCGCGCATCGCGCAAGGACATGTGGCCCAAGCGCAGATTGTCTTCCTCCGATCCTCCAGCCATGCCAGCCAACACCAGCTTCTCCCAGGTCTCACACCCGCCACTCATCACAACCCCGCTCATGCCGTGCAGCCTGGAGATGCCGGCCTAACGGCGTCAACCTGAGGCGGCTTGCGCCTCATGAGCCAAGGTTCAGGTCCAGTTCAGCATCCGAGTGAATCTGGGTCCAACTGACTGCGCTTTGAGCAGTGGCAGCCAGTAGCATCAGAGGCGCCGTTCGCTGCATGAAACACAATTACAGAGCCTCGGGGCGCAGATTAAGTCACGATTGGGGCAGGGCGAGAATGCATGGCTGGCCGGCTACCAATTACCAAGGTCTTGCTTGGTCCGAGGGTTGGGTTGCTTGGTCTTGAGACCATTAGTGAAAATAACATTACAGTCGGCCGGCTGCGCGGCAGCCCTGCTCCATCTAGCAACACGGACCCTGAGCGTCAGGAAAGCCCCGTCCCTGTTTGGCTCCTGTTTCCCTGAGACCCTGTCCGACGAAGAAGACCTGAGCACCTGAGCGTTGCTCGCCGCCGCGCTATCAGCTGTCTGTCGTCACTACTCCATGCTCCAAGATAGACAGACGCCCTCAGCCGTATTCCAGATCCTGGGTCCCCTCCCCCTCCCCGGTGCGGTTCTGCGCACGATTCCGCACTGTAGACGATTGCCTGCTACCTGCTGCGAGCGTCTTCCTGTACCCCGACTTCTCCTGCCTGACGCTCAGCACTCCGCTGCGTATGCGTCGCGCTTACGCTTGCGCAATCTCAAGCTCCCACTTCCTCACCCCTCACGCGCACCCGTCCCTAGTTAAACTACACCTTGTCATTGTCGCTCCCTCGATCCCTCAGCTGCTACCGCCTACATTCCTGGTAACCCCGCCACAGACGACCACCCATCGCAGAACGCTCTATCGACAGTCTAACCCCTACTCGCGACTACGCCTCGTTGGGCGCTGTGCCGCCATTGCACATTGTGTCTGACACACTGCACGTCCCATCGGCCCCCCCGCCTGCCTGGTTACCCAGCCAGACACGACACTACGGCCACTACTCCACCAAAACACAGTGCACGCAGCACATTTCTCTCTTGATACTATACTCTACATCGTACACTTCGCAGCCTCTCGCTACTCCTGGGCCGACCACCACTGAACCATCATCATTCAATCATCAATCGACACTTCGCTTCACTGCTCACTCGTCTTCCTCGGCGCTCTCTCATCCTAACGCCTAAATCGACATTACCCTTGTTCAACCCTCACCGCCGCCCAATCTAATCCCGACACCCGGACCGCCATCGCCGTGCCCTTCAGGCCTTTACCTCGCTTAGGAACCCTGGCCTCCAGTCCAAGCCTGGTGACTGTCAGCTGCGCGCTCTGCACGGTTGCACGAGTTTCGCGAATCTCACTCGAGCGCGTCCTCTGACAGACGTCAACCCAGATCAACACGCAACCGCACGACGACTGGGCTCAACTTTCGACACATTGGCATCACAGCTGTGCCTCCGTCCGTCACTACTGCACGCCCGCCGCCCGAGCGACGACTACCGATCGACAGCATCTCCCGTCTCGCATGACACCTTCCTCTTGCTACCCAGCCTGTTGACGCCCTTCCTCCCTCCTCCCCGAGTACAAAGGACGCAACACCGACGCCACTGCTCAGAAGATCCGTCTGGCCTATGCGCGATACAGTGCCCTCTCCCATCGTGCTCGACTGCAACTACATCGTATCGCGACTGCACGCCATACGACAACTCGGATCGCCTTGAAAGTTCCATGCCCCACGCTGCCTGATCATCATCTCTGTATCGGACTCTTGCAACCAATACGCCTGTCGTCATTCCTCAGCACGACCGCCGCATGACGACGAGTATGTCTGAGGAGTCGTCGTCGTCGTCGTCGTCGTCGTCGGGTGTGTTGATGCCTCCCAGTGGAGTCGACTTCCTTCACCGGCTGCGGTCCGATCCTAAATCCCATCACATCACTATCGGACCTGCTCCTGTCCAGTTTCATTCCCCGAGAGATCCAAATGCACCATCTCAAAGCCAACCATCGCCTTCCCCGCATACAACTCCCGAGTCCGACGAGCACACTCCCGAGCTCGAGGTCGACGACCCTCGGGAGCTCTATGACGATTCACCCGACCCGTTGCCAGAGCCCGCCCAGCATGATGGGTCTCACCCTTCCACCCCGACCGACGATGACGATCCCGCCGTCGCGTTCCAGACAAGGGGTCACTTCCTCGACTCAAACCGCGGTGACTCATCGGCGTCGCCATTCGGCGGCGCCCTACCGGGCTCGCCTAAGACACGCGTTGTGTCTGTTGCGCCCGATGCGCCGTCACCCCGGCGCGTGCACCCCCAGCGCCCGAACGGGGCGCCGAAGAGGTCGCAATCAGACTTTGGCAAGACGCAGACCCTGGGTTCTGACGAAATCCCACCGGCCGACAGCGAGCGCTCCCGACGCATCGCCGCAGATGGCCTCCCCCCGCAACTCAGTTTAGGCGCCAATGGGAAGGCGGACTGGCAGTGCTTCTGCGTCGCGTATGCGGCCGGAATGTGGAATCCGAACTACACCCCGCAGCCCCCTCAAGGCCCGTCTGGCCGATTCAGCACGGACGTCCTTAGACCTGCGCCACATTCCCATTCCAGACATCCAGCACCGCCAAATGACTCTGACCTGAGATCGCCGACATCAACGAATGCGCCCCCAGTGCCCCTCGACATGCAGTGGGCAGCGTTTCAGCAACCAGATTCTGCCGCCGTGGGATCGTTGCCATCCGAGGGCTTTTATGGACGCAACTCGGTGGCCAACCCGGCAAAGGTCGTCTTCTCACTCCCTCATCCAGAACGCGAGCACGTGGACCCGTTTGGACCAACCCAACAGCCACCACCCCGCAAGCTCTCCGAAGGCCTTCCCCACACTGGCGCTATGCTTCCTGCCATGCAGGCCGAAGGCGGCATCCCGCGCAAGATCGACGAGGAGAAGGTTGCCGACGACGACACCGTCATCGACACGTTTGTGCAGATGACTTTGGGTCCCAGAGAGGAGCGTTCGACGGCTTCCGTGGCGGAAATGGACACGACAGACGACGAGGAGGACGGCCGTCCAGTCTTTGAACCGCCGACCGTGGATCCAGTGGAAGAGTTCCGCTCGATGCCTCAGTACGCCCATTTCATTGAGGACTTCCCAACGATCACCCATCCGACTGAAATGGCCATCTTCTACCGGCGCTTCGGTTTCTTGCCCGCTCCCATGGGTCCGAGAGAACTCGACCGACGCAAAGCTCTGTACAACTTCAACATTCTGCACACTGCCAAGGACGCCAACTTTGATCGGATCACGCACATCTGCAAGCTCATGTTCAATACCAAGATGGTGGTCATGTCGTTGCTCGATTCCGACACGTCCTGGTACAAGTCTACGTCTGGATTGGAGTTGTCGCAGTCGGCCAGAGTTACGGGCTTCTGTTCGCATACTATCCTCGGCAACACGGACGAGCCGATGGTGGTCCTCGATTCCTTGAAGGACTGGCGCTTTGCTCGCAACCCCCACGTCATCGCCGCACCCAACATTCGCTTCTTCGCCGGTGCTCCTCTCCGCACATCGGACGGGCACAATCTCGGCGCACTTTGTCTCATTGACGACAAACCGTGGGATGACTTCCCACCACGCTCGCGGTTAATCCTCAAGGAGTTGGCAATGGTCGTCATGCGCGAGCTGGAGCTCTGGCGAGACAAGGTGAGTTCATTCCCCAGCTTGACGTCGTCCCTTGGCAAACCTAGCTAACAGCAGCTTCAATTGCGCACTCGCGGCAAGATCCAGACCTCGATGGAGAAGTTCGCCCGAGACTGCCTCACGATCGACGAGAAGCTCAACACCTCCGCGTTAACGTCCACATCTCGCATGACAGAGGTCTATTCGCGAGCTGCCAAGCTCATCAGCAAGACGCTCGACCTCGACGGCTGCAGCATCCTGGACATCAGTCAGTTTGAGCGACTGCAGAGCACCGACGCTCTTGGCAACCAGCATACGGTGTACCACGCGAATCCCTTCTCTGGTTCCAGTGCTTCTGGGTATGAGATGGCCGAATCGTTCGGCGCTGTCACTGCCTTCCCCATACTGGCTTCGACGGGGCCAGATGAGCCGCGCACTCGACCTCTCACGGCTGAGGAGCATCAGCGCATGTCCAAGTTCCTTGGGGAGAACCGAGACGGACGCATCTACGAGAACATTGTGCCGACCTGGATCCGATATGTCTTCCCTCCATCGCTCAAGTACGGCATGGTGGTGCCCCTCCTCGACATGGACCAGCAACCGTTCGCCATGATCTGTGCCCACACACACGACAAGGGGAAGCAGTTCCTGGAAGGGTACGAACTGCAGTTCTTGCGTGCCATCGGTGTCATCATTCTGTCTGCCGTTTTGCAGCGGCGCATGGCACTCGCCAACCGATCCAAGAGTGTTCTGATTTCTTCGGTCAGCCACGAGCTGCGCACACCGCTACACGGTATTCTCGCTGCTGCCGAACTGCTGACCGACACGAAGCTGGACGCGAACCAGGAAGCGTTCCTGTCCACTGTCCGCACGTGTGGTCTGCAGCTGATCGACACGGTCAATCACGTTCTCGACTTTACCAAGCTAAGCGCCGACTCGAAGAATGGAACCAACTCGCGCAGGCAGATCCAGAAGCAGACTGTCAACCTTGCCGAGCTTCTTCACTCGACCGTCGAGAGTTGTTGGCTGGGTCAGCGTGCCCGTTTAATGCAGATGGGGGAGGCGGAATCCGATCTTGGATCATACTACGCCCCTGTACCGATGGGACTCGTCCCACACGATCAGCGCATGAACATCAGCAGCAACCTCGCCAACGTCGAAACTGTGCTGGACATCGGGTTCCGACAAGGCGGATGGAACGTCGTCTGCGAGCCAGGTGGCCTCCGACGCATCATCATGAACTTGTACGGCAACTCGGTCAAATTCACTAAGGAAGGATACGTTCAGGTTGCCTTGCGCGAGCTGCCGCACCCGCCAGAGGCTCGCCGTATCCCGCTCGAGCTCAGTGTTGTTGACACTGGCAAGGGTATTAGCAAGTCGTTCCTGAAGGACCAGCTGTTCCAGCCTTTCTCTCAGGAGAATCCTCTGCAACCGGGAACCGGCCTCGGCCTCGCGATTGTCAACACAATCGTCCGATCCGAGGGTATGAACGGCAATCTCGAGGTCTGGTCGGCTGAAGGCGTCGGAACGGAGATCAAGGTCACGTTCGAAGTGGATCTTCTGAACCCGAACGAGCAGGAAGAAATGACAAAGTCAAACCCGATCATGACGACCTTCGATCCCGAACTCGGCAGCGGCTTCGCTGTCGCCTTCATCGGTCTCAGCCCTGACCACCGCGGACACCGCTTACTTTCCGAGGTCATGACGCAGTACTCGAACGCCCTTGGCTTCAAGGTTGTCGATGATCTGCGACAGGCCGACATTGTGCTTGCGAACGAGACGTATGCCCTTATTCCAGAAGTCGTGGACGTCCTGCACAACCGAGCTCTCATTGTCCTCAGTTCGATTAAGGGTCAGGACAAGGAAGCTATCCGGCGGATTGCAGCGACAGAGGGCCACATCGGTCTGTGGCACAAGCCACTTGCGCCGTGCTTGTTCATGAAGGAAATGCGCGACGCGGTCGACTGGGCGAAGGCGTCGCGTTCGAATGGCGCTACTTCCCCAGCCGAGTCTGCCCCCTTACCGAGGAGCAAGGCCCCGGGTTTGTCGGCCGGGGCGACCCCTTCTCCGCTGGCCAACGGCAACAGCGACCGACTCGGAACTCCCGAGCCTCTGAGCTTGGCGAACCACCCGACGATGAGAGACACGCCTGGTTTCAGTGTGTTAACTCATCCGCAGTTCAAGGCACAGGCGACTCTGAGCCGCCGTCACTCGGAGGAGGCCAAGAGCAATCGACGCCCCGTCCGGCCGCCGCTGGGCTCACGCGGCGCGACAAACGACGGCCTGAAGATCAATGGCCACAGCCCTCCGTCTGACGAGCTTTCCAGTCTCGCATCGGCCGAGTCATCCCCGGGGTCGTCCACTTCCGGTAATTCGACGGTTCCACTAGGTGACGGCGGTGCCATGCTGCGTGCGGTCACGATGACGCCCGCACTCGCGGCGCTGCGACGACAGAGCCGCCCCCGTGTTATGGTCGTCGAGGATAACGCAATCAACCGGCGAGTCCTGACAGCCTTCCTGCGGAAGAAGGGCTTTGGGTACTCGGAAGCCGTCGACGGTGCGAAAGGCGTGCAGCTGTTCCGCGACACGCCACCATCGCACTGGGATGTGATCCTGATGGACATCAACATGCCGATCATGGATGGACTCGAGGCGACGCGCATGATTCGCACGATCGAGGCATCGCGGCGCCACTGCGTCAAGTCGCCGAACGGCGACAGCAAGCCTAAGCTCATGGGCAACGAGATCTCGGGCAAGGGCGCGGACACCAGTAACGCTGAGGACACGCCGCCGACACGGGACCCGCCCAAGTCGAGCCGAGCTCACGACCCGACGCACGTCAAGATCTTTGCACTGACGGGCCTCGCGACGGGCGAGGACAAGCGCACCGCCTTCAACGCCGGCGTGGACGGGTACCTCGTGAAGCCGGTCTCGCTCTCGTCGCTGGATGTGCTGTTCAAGAAGATTGGGTTCTAGAGCGAGCAAAAGCAACCTGCGGCAGGACGGGAGGGAGGAGGAGCGGAGAAAAGTGTCGTGGACAATCTCGGGACCCATCAACCACTGTACCAATAATCAGAAGTCAGAGAGAAGAAAAATACAGACAGTCACCTATCCACTACTAGACAACCCCTCCACTGTAGCCTAGCAACCTCTTTACATGTGTACGAATCCCCCGTAGAGACAGTATAATGTGTATGCAATGCAGCGTAGAGCATAAACCTGGTCTCTGGATTGGCTCTAGAACTCAGGGGGTGAGGAAGCAAAGGAGAGGGCAGGAGAAAGCCAACATGCGGGCAACTCTGACCCAAAAAGATAGATAAGCAGCCCCCGCCCCCCGATAAGCATTCACGTGTGTGCATGTGCCCCATCAGATTATGGGCTGTATGGAATGCAGAGTCGTTCGGGATGTGCCTTTACGTATACGAATATGAATCGGTGGAGCTGATGGAGAGCGAGATGAAACACGGACCGGTGTCAGGTCGTTGGTAACTGAACATTCCAACGAGACCCGAGTCACCGCTCGACTAGAGCATAGTGAGCACCCGTGCCGCACAGCTCAGAGCGCGCGAGCGCGCAACCCCCTCCGTCAATGGAACCAAGTATGCAGCCAGACTAGCAAGTTTCGAGGCACAGATCGCACCGACTAGCCTCCTAGCCTCGGCTTAGCTCTCAGTCTAAAAAACCCTCATCAGGCCAGAAAGTGCCAAAAGTGCCACACCACCGCAACTAGAACGGTTCAATCTTCTCGTACATAACTGCACACAACTATCTCAAGACAAACTACGAGCTCACTTCTCGGGCCACTTCTGCGGCTCCTTGGCCATACTGAACCTGAGCTTGGCGCCCTTCATGATGTCCTTGTGACCAATCGTGATCCTGCGCCACGCCCTCTCGTCCACCTCCAGACTCCTAACGTACTGCTTCTCATTACTGACTCCCCTGGCCCTCACTTTCAGCGTGCCGCCGGGCGTCCAGTCCGCCGCTGGGAGACGGAGGTCGAGCTTGTCGAACAATGGCGCGCCGATCACGTACTCACCCCCAGCTGGGTCGACGGGGTAGAAGCCCAGGGCTGTGAAGAGGTAGAAGGCGCTCATTTGCCCGCAGTCCTCGTTCCCACTCAGGCCGAGGGCGGTGTGGTTGTACTCGGACTCAGCGAGGGAGCGGGCCCAGTGCTGCGTCTTGGAGGGGATGCCGGCCAGGGCGTACACGTAGGGCTGGGATTAGCTTGTGAAGGTGGGTTGCAGCTCACAATGTGGTGGCTTGGCTCGTTTGTGTGCAGATTGTGCCCGCCGTTGAAGTGCGCATCGGCAAACTTCTCGAACTTGTCCTTGCCGCCCATCAGCTGGACGAGGCCGGGAATGTCGTGCTGTTTGTCAGCTCCAAGGACTTTTCAATAGCTGGCCCCAAGCACACTCACCATCACGGTCAGGCTGTACGCCCAGTGGTCGCCCTCGCACCAGCCCTCCCACTCGCCGGCCCAGGATCCATCCTCGTTCCTCGCCTCCATGAAGCCGGTGCGCTTGTTCCAGATGTTCTTGTAGTTCTTGGACCGCTTCTCGAGGAGTGTCGCGTTGTGCTCGTCTCCGTTGTGGCGGGCGACAATGGCGGCGGCGTGGTCGTCGTACGCGTAGTCGAGCGTGCGCGAGCCGGCCTCGCTGTGCCGGTCGTTCGCGACCCAGCCGTTCTTCATGTACTCTGTCAAGCCGGCGCGCACCTCCTGGGGCGTGTGCTGCTGCCTGTCCCAGTAGCGGATCTCCACGTCGTGATCCGGCGGCACGAACGCATTCTTCATGACGGCCGCGTATGCCAATGCCTTGTCGAACCCAGTCACGCCCGCGTTCAGCGCTTGCGCGACGATGGAATCGGCGTGCGTCGCCACCATGATGTTCGTCTCGACAATGTTCTTCCACATCGGCATCCAGCCGCCCTGCACGTAGTCCTGGAGCATGCTCTGGATCATGGGGCCGGAACGCTCGGGCGCAACCAGCAGCTGCCAAGCTGTAGTCGCACGGAACGTGTCCCAAATGCTGTAACCGGAGTACGAGACGCCTGAAACAACCTTGTCCAGGTATCCCGAGTAGTACTTCCACTTGGGTTCCTCCTTTGTGCCCGCGTTCTCGGACACTTCGTAAGGGTACACGAGCGTGTGCGCAAAGCCGGTGTAGAGTACCGTCTTGTTCTGAGGAGTGGCGCCAGAGACAGTGAGCCTGTCAAGCTTCTCAGCCCACGCCTCGCGAGTCTGTCGTGATGTCTTCGCCAGCGATTGTCCGTCTGGGATCTCAAGGTCAATGTTGCGTCGTGCCTGCTCGATGCTAATAAACGAGACGCCGATGCGGACATCGACGGACTTTGTGTCGCGAGGGAAGATCGCCCATCCGCTCAGCAGGTTGCTCTCCGCCTCGAGACCAGCATATGGCAGACCGTTGCACGTGATGCCGCCCTTGGCAATGGGCTCGCTGAAGCGCGCAACAAAGTACCCCTTGAACCCCTTCGCTGGGATCTCCTCGGAGAGCAGGATTTTGCTGCGGTTGTCAACTAGCGATCGTTAGGAAGCTCTTACTCCTGGCGCTCATCATTCCAGCCGTAGATCTCGTTACGTTCTGTGTCGACACGAACCCATCCGAGGGGGTAGGTCACATTGTTAGGGTCGTTGGTGAAGACGCTGCGCCGGCTTGCGTCGAGCACGACATACGGGTCGACACGATGGCTGTTCGGGTGGAACGTGAAGCGGAGGTGGCCGACACGGCTCGAGGCCGACAACTCGGCACGCACATCACCGTGGTACCCATGCAGGAGGTTGGAGTAGTAGTTGGCGCTGGCGTACTCGTTCTTGCGCTTGAAGGGCATGGCGCGCTGCAGGAAGTCGGTGATGACCGGCCCAATGCCGGCGTGCACCTGCACAGGGCCCGACTCGCCCATCCACACCGCGGGTTGATGCGTACCGATGAACCCGGAGAGCGTTGTGTCTGTCTGGTTGTACGGACACATCGAGACGTCTGCCATTAGTTCAAGGACGTCTCAACAACTTACAGTTCAGGCGCGATTGCGGCGTCCATCGCGTCATCGCGAACGGCGGCGCGACGGCCGGGATCATGCCGCCGGAGAGGTCTGGCTCGGGTCTGGTGTCAGCTCCGAAGGCAAACATGCAGCTTGCTTCGACATAATTTAGTGGCGACTCACCCGTCGTTACCGAGCATGACGTTGGTGTGGAACAGTGCGTCGCTGACGGGCTTGACAAACTCGCGAGGTGCGGTCTCCTTCCGTCCGTCATCGAACGGTGCGTGGCCCTTGACCTCTCCGTCAAGGACCGTATTCAGCGTCCAGCCATCCTGATACTTGTTGATCGCAAAGTAGAGGAAGCCCAGCAGGATGCCGTACACGAGAGCTGTCGCTGTCGTCTTCCTCCTCTCCGGGGCGGGAGCGGGAGCAGGCGCTGCGCCCTTCCCGGGAGAGTTCAGATGCGTCGTCTCCGAGACCCGCGGGGGCGGGCTCGCGCGCCGCTTCGGGGTCGGTACCTTCGACATTGCGCGGCTTGTGTGATGTAGTGGGCGCTGGTGAGAAAGGCGCTGTGTTATAATGTGGTAGTTGTGTGCGCACTGTGACACCCGTTATGCGGTCGAACCCTGCAAATGTGACGTCTGGTGGAGGCGGGGAAGGCGGCGAGGAAGGCAAGGAAGGCTCGCGTCATGGATCTGATTCCGTTCGGCTTCGATGTCAGCCAAACTGCTTGGTGCAGACAGAAGAGCACAAGCGCGGCGAGCGACGACTGAGCCAGCAAACAAACAAACAGCCGTTCCAGCATCCAGCACAGACTGACACACACACCACTCGCACTAGACAGTCAGTAGTTCCAAAAGTGCAGAGAAGCAGAAGGGAATAGTGTTGTTCATCAAAGGTTAAAAGTCCAGTAGGAGAGAAGAGAAAAATGTCTACCCCTCATGAAACTCCGTCCATCCACGGTATAGTAGTAAAGGAAGCGAAGCGATTATGAGGTAAGTTGCTCTACGATCAGAACCGATGCCAAGTGGTAGCAAGTCGTCCCCCATCGTAGGGGCGACGGCGATGCGGTTCGTCGTCGATAAGGTGAAGAAATCCAAGTTTGGCTGCATTTTCGCTTTATATAGTGGCTTCTCTGTACCTGCGGAGATTTGGGGATGTCCGCTTTGGTGCGAGGTATCGATTTTTGGGTGCGAGCCAGCCAGAAAGGCTTTGCGGGCTCGGGCTCTACGGTGAGGATTGGCGGCGAGTCTTGTGGGCCGCGACCAATCGAGATCTCTCTCCCCGCCTGGCCTCGCCCGCCTATAGCCTACGCGGCCAACCAGCCAGAACAGCAAGGGACGGAAATATCGCCAGTGCTGCGGGAATATGTGCCTATTCAGTCTGTGTGGCGGCAACTAACGATGATCGACGGGCACACATACACGCGCATGCGCGCACGAGCCAGCCAAAGCCGGCCTAGACCATCTGGTGCGGGAGGGTGCGAGGCCCAGCTCGGCCAGCCAGCGCAGCCCGGCGCGTACATAACCAGGGCCCGCATGGGCCCAAGAATTTTGGTCCGGTGTACACTCTTTCTTGTGTTTACTCTTGTCTGTCGTCCTCTCCACTTTGTGTGCTGCCAGTTCTGTTCGCCCCTGGCAGCCTCTTCTCTAATCGTAAGTGTCCACCCCCCCTCACCTCTTTAGACGCCCGCGCCCCCAGCGCTTGACGTCGACCACTGTGATGACAACATCTGTGAAAAATAGGAAGTGCCATCTGTATCAGCCCATGCGGCTATGCTGTTTCCAGGTTCTCTGAAATCCCTCCTTTTCTTCTCGTTTTGCGTGAAGGGATGTGTTGCTGACGTTATCTCAGTCTCTAGTTTACTCCCTCTCTTCCCCCTGCTCGCTTGCTCGCTTGCTCGCCACTCGCACGATATGTCTAATGGAATGCATCTATGTGTTTGCTAAACTGAAGCGTCGCGCTACACCGTAAAGTTGCTTGGTCTAACGACGAACGCCGTGTTGCCCGCGAGCACCTGGATGGGCACCTCGCACTGCACCGTCTGCGTCTCGCTCTCGCTCCACTCGCCGTCGCGGACAAAGTAGGGCGCGAGTCCGGGAGCCGCAGTGTACGGCCCGTTGTCGCAGTCGCCCTCAACTGGTACCTAACGAGAGCACCTCGGGCTCAGCTATCGGCTTTGGCGGAGGCGGCGCGTCCACGGACTCTAACGCCTCGAGCGCAGCGTAGTCCTCCTCGGAGTACTCGTCTGCGTCGAACTCCTCTGGCGACGCGACCAGGAACGCGAGCTTGAGCCGCCACTCCAGACCGCCGTGCCGGCCCTCGCTGCCCGCGACTAACCCGAAGGCAGGAGTGGCGTCCGAGGGAATGTCGAGGCTGAACGGCGTGCGAGACGTGTGCACCGCGTAGCTCGAGCGGAACTCGGCGTGCACGCGCCGCAGGTCTGGCTGTTTCACTCGCCCTGCCTCGCTCGCACTCGGCGGCAGCAGGGTTTCGGGGATCAGCTCGTGTGTCTCGAGATAGGCCGAGAACTTGATCACACGTCCGGTCGCCTTTGGCTCGTTGAACGTCACCACGCCAGTCACCGTCTCGCCGAGTCGGTACGCGGTCTTGATCAGCGTTAGGACGGCGACGACTTCTCCGTCCTTCGTGATATCGAACGACGCTTGAGGTCAGCTTCCGGACCTGTCTACCTTGCTTACCTTTAGGACTGTGACGCGACAAGATTTGAACCACCTCGCCGCACTTCTGCGTCTCTTCTACGAGCTCGTCGTCACCAGCCACAATGCTGGTCGAGCGGGGGCGCACCTGTGTCCGCTCGGGCTCTGGCGACAGAAAGAAATCGGCCTTCGTCGGTGACTTGTTTGTCCTGGTCGACGTCTTTGGTGTCAGGGGGTTGAATGGCTTGCTAGGCGAGGGCGGCACCGGGATATGTCCGTCGGCCGCTGGCTCAACCGTGTCCATGAGCTGCCGGGCGTACGCGGCGAGAGAGTCGGGTTTCGGCTGAGGCAGTTCTTTCGGGCCGGTGTTGCGCCGCCGTGACAGTGGCGTCTTCGCGTCCGGCGTCTGTTCCACAATCACGCCCTCCTCCTTTGTCTGGATAACAGGGTCCAGGATGTTGTACGTGCTGAGGGGATGTGGGAGAGACACGTTGGGCCATATCCGTACTGGGACGGAGATCTCCTTTGTCCGCTGACGCTTCCCTCCTCCGGGTAGCGACACGTTCAGTGAGATGACGAGCTCGTAGGAGAATCGCATAGCCTTGCCTTTGAATGCTGGCGGGAGCGACGTCGGGAGCTGCAGTGTGTACACATCTGTCACGTCAGCCTTTCACCCTCGGGTGAGCTACCCACACTCCTTCGTTTCTCCCTCCCCGAGCTTGATGTCCACGCCCATCAGGCTTCTAGTCGTCTCCAGGACGGGCAAATCGTGTGTGTTCCACACACGTCTTCTCTCCTCCTCAAGACTGCCACCTGCTGCACCTCCGACCATGCTCTTCGCCAACCCAAACAGGCTTCCCGTAAGGCTGGGCCGGGTCTGGTGGCCGATAGTACCAGTGCCAAAGTTCAGCGCCCATCGGGACCCTAACGTGCTCTTGTCCTGTTCCGTTGAGGGAATCAGCGAACCAGAGCCGATAGGCTGGTGTAACAGTCGCGATCGAAGTGGCAGTAGCGGATCAGGCGGGATGTATGACGTAGAAGGGGCGAACCGCGCAATGAGGCGTGCATGCGCCCACAGCACCGTAGTCGTACCAACCTGGGAGACAGGCTTTGTGCGCAGCTGAGGGTGCAGGGGAGGAGCGTCGATGTTTCCAAACGCGGTGTGGTGGTAGGTTGGAGAACGGGCGTGGTGTGGCCGTTGGCGCCGTCTGTCGCTGCCGTTTGACAGTGTCGAATGCATCGATGCCGGTGACGGTACCCCAGGCGACCCTGCAGGCGTTGGTAGGTCTGGCGTGAACAACCGACCAGGGTCTTTCACGGGCGACGTTCTCGGCGTCGATCGCGTGGGGGACTCTTCGGCAACGTAAGGTAACGATGGTGTCGGGCTCGGAGACAGTCGCATGGAACTGCGCGAGACATCGAGCGGTGATGGCCCCTTGAGGGAGTCAAGACGCTCCGAGCTGCCAGATCGTAACTCTGTTGACGTCTCGCTATCACTCTGAAGCGGAGGTGTAGAGGATGGGAACCTGGATTCGTCCGGATTCGGCGAATTGAAGGCTGCGGTGCTTGCAACGGAGACCTTACGCGCATGCGGGTGCGATAAGGGAATGGTAGGTGTCCGGCGTGTCGGTAGTGGTGGGGGAAGAGGCGTCGAAGGCTCTGACGGTTAGTCTGTTACTGACGCTAGCGCTGCAGATATCACTTACCTGACCGATCCCCCCCTCCCAAAGCCCAGATCATCTCCTGTGAGCTGACACTCTTGTCGAGAGCCAAGCTCTGGCTTCTTCGTGTGTGTCCCAAGCCGCTCGGCCTACGAGCATGCTCCCCTCTCCACTTCCCATCTGGGGAGAAGGTCGGAGTTCCGGGACTGGCTGGGCTTGCTGCGCCTCCTGATGACCGCTTCTGTAACGGTAATAGATGCGTGGGGTGAGGACGCGACGTTGAGGGCTGCACGGTACCATCGAGCGAACGCAGGTGAGGGGGGATACGCGTGTTTCGCAACGTGATGACTGCTGAAAAGGTCTCTCCGGCGTAGAACGCAGACGCCGACGGCGTAACGGTGACTTCGAGGTGAGCGTCATCGAGGTCGATCGGCGGGGTCGACGAGCCGCGAGAGAACATAATCGCGGCAGGTACAGAGCCTCCAGGCAGATGCAGCCGGAGGATCTGACGGACGAGAGTGTGGTATGCACAAGACGGGTGGTGTGAGGATTGGAGGAAGAGGTGAGTTGCTCGTGACAAGCCGAGGACGATGGCAACGTAAGGCGACAGGCGAGGGCCAGGAGCTGGCGGTCGTGTACCTCCTCCTCGTGTCTCATGACTGTGGAGACCCCGCTGCCGCCTGCGGAAATGCTCCCCCTGCAGCCCATATGCTCCCGCCCACAAACAATCCTTCTTACTGGGCTCCCGCCACGCAGATTTTTCATCGGTTTCCTTCGTTATCCACCTGCTTTTTCATCCACGAATATCACCCTTTCGCCGTCCCAATCCACACCGGCGACCGCGCGCATTTGTTCCTATCTCGGCACTCAGTCCGCCACCGCTTGTTTCGACTCGGACCGTGCACCACAACCTGCGATAAGCGCGGTGGCAACTGATTGTCTAACAAAGCACCACTTCATTTGGTCCCGCCAGAGCAATACTCCTGACCTCCACCTACGATCGACCTCCACCACCGACGTCCACCGATCGGATCGACGGCTTGCTGATCTTTCAACCGCCGGTTCGAGGAGCTGTCTATTAGCTCAAGAGAATGGCTGGGACACCTTCTTCTAAGGCCGGTCGAGCTGGGTCGGACCCACCTCCTCCCAAGGTCGCCGCGCCTGGCACCTACACTCTGTCTGTGAGTATCTTGCCTTGCCGTCGATTACCGAATGGTCACTAACCTTGTTCAGGATGTAGTCCCGGGAGTGAAGATCTTCGTCGCGAAGCCCCTGGGCAACGGGCAAGAGGAGCACCGAAAAGCTGAGATTCTATCCACAAGACCGAAACCTGTCTCGGCCTTTGCCCCGAAGCCCGGACCTAATGACCCGAAGCCGGATCCCCGCGATGATGTCGAGTACTACGTACACTATGTCGAGTTCAACAAGCGTCTCGACGAATGGGTTGGTGGAAGCCGCCTGCTCACCGACAAGGAACTCGAGTGGCCGCAGCCCAAGGAGGAGTCAAACAAGAAGAAGACCGGAAAGGCAACCCCGAAGGCGTCCGGCGCTGCTTCCCCGTCGCGACCGTCGAAGGGTGGAGCGCCCAAGAGTCTCCTGAAGAAGGCCGCGACGAAAGCTGCCTCTCAAGTCGGCAAGGTCCCTAGCAAGGGCAAGGCTAGCAAGAGCAAGGCTGGCAAGGGCTCCGGAGCCACGACCGGAGACGAGACGGATGATACGGACGATGCGGACGGCGAGGACGACACGGACGCGGAGGGCGACGTCTCCATGTCGTCGGCCGACGGCGACAACGAGGTCGAGGACATGAAGCCGAGCGACCCTCGTGCTGGACCGGCGGTGTTCAGCAAGAAGGACGAAATCGAGAAGTTGCGAACATCGGGTTCAATGACGCAGAGTCACAGCGAGATTTCTCGTGTCAAGAACCTGAACAAGCTGCAGATCGGCAAGTCGGAGGTCGAGTCGTGGTACTTCTCACCGTACCCGGCCGAGTACGCGTACCTGCCGAAGCTGTACATCTGCGAGTTCTGTCTGCTGTACTACCCGAGCCTGACGCAGCTTACGCGACACCGAACAAAGTGCACGCTGCAGCACCCTCCGGGCAACGAGATTTACCGTAAGGACAACATCTCGTTCTTCGAGATTGACGGACGGCGGCAGCGGACCTGGTGCCGGAACCTGTGTTTGCTGAGCAAGTGCTTCCTGGACCACAAGACGCTCTACTACGACGTGGACCCGTTCATGTACTATTGCATGACGGTCAAGGACGAGTACGGCGACCATCTGATCGGCTACTTTTCGAAGGAGAAGGAGAGTGCGGAAGGATACAACGTAGCGTGTATCCTGACGTTGCCCCAGCACCAGCGTAAGGGTTACGGTAAAGTTCTCATCGAGTTCTCCTACGAGCTGTCCAAGGTCGAGGGCAAGCTCGGCTCACCCGAGAAGCCGCTGTCCGACCTGGGTCTCCTCTCCTATCGCGCGTACTGGCAGGAGAAGATTGTCGACCTCCTCACCGAATCAGAAGACGAGATCTCTCTCGATGAGATCGCCCAGCGCACGTCCATCACGCACGGAGACATCATGCACACGTGCCAAGCCCTGCAGATGATCAAGTACTATAAGGGTCAACACATCATCCACCTTACGGACGCCGTGCTCGAGCAGCACCAGAAGACGAAGGCCAAGACGCGTAATGCAATCGATCCGACATGCCTCAAATGGAAGCCGCCCGTGTTCACGCGCTCGCAGCTGTCCTTCGGTTTCTAAATCCTGAATCTCATTCCACTTCTCTCTCCTCACTCTCTCTTATCTCATATCTCTGTAGTTGTAGCAAGTACACCAAGGCTCTATGCTCTTAACCAAAAGCCATGAAAATGCATGATAGTACATATAATACTGGTAGTGCGGAACGGAGCCCAAGTCTAAGTCTTGACGACAATGATCTACTTCCTCTTCTTCCCCTTGTCGCGCTTGGCGATGCGCTTCTGGGCGCGGACCTCCTTGCGCATGCGCGCGTCGACAATCTTGTACTTGCCCTTGACGCCCTTCGGTCGTCCCTTGACACCCTTGTTGACGCCCTTGGCGACGACCACCTTGCGCTCCTGCCTCTTCTCTCCAGCCGCGGCACGGCGGAGGAGGCGGCTGACCTGGCGCGCCTTCTCGCCGTCGTTCAGGTCCTCCGTCTCCATGACGCCAGCGGCCTTCTTCTTGGCGCGCTCGAGGCGCGCGGCCGCCTTCATCTTCTTGCGGCCCTTGGCCTCGGCGATCTTCTTGATCGGGCGCGCGTCGAGTGCACGCTGGCGGTCGCGCAGGGCCTGCACTGCCTCCTTCGTGATCGGGATGTTGGGGCGGTAGTGCTTGCTCTCGTCGTCGAGGAACCAGGACGGGAGGCCGTCCTTGTTGTGCGTCGAGAGCTTGTTGAAGCCCTCGTCGATGAGCTGGGACGCGGTGACTTCGCGGTTCACGAGACGGTTCGCCAGCGTCTGCGCCTCGGCCGTCAGGATACCCTTCTCCTTGATCTTGCGCTGGAGGACCTCGTCCTGGTCCTCGTCGTCGACGTCCCACTCCGGGTCCTCGTCGACCTCCTGCGGCACGATCTCAAAGTCGTCGTCATCCTCGGGCGCCTCGAGCGTCGACTCGTCAGAGCCCATGTCGACGTCGCCCTCGCTGTCGACGCTGTCGTCGTCGGAAGCATCGTCCTCATCCATCTCCTCGTCCTCGTCCTCGTCCTCGTCGTCACCATCGAGAGCAGCGAGGTCGCCCATGTCCTTGAACACGGACTGGTCGAACCACACCTGCGCCTGGCGGGACATCTTGTCGCGCGAGTCATCCCTTGACAGGCTCGTCAGCAGCTTCTTCTGCTGGGGCTGAGCGACAGGGCGGGGGTCGCGGATAGTGACCTTGGCCTTCTTCTTCTTCGGGGCGTCGGCATCGTCCTCGGCTTCCGAGTCAGAGTCCGAGTCAGAGTCATAGTCCTGCGCCTTCTGGTTGGCGACAACGTCCCAGCCTCCCTCGCCCTCAGACTCCTCCTCCTCCTCGTCCGCGTCTCCGCGCCGCGGCACGCGCACCATTCCGCTGCGGTAGCCCTTGTCGACGCCGTCGTCCTCGCTGTCGCTTCCCTCCTGGATTCCGTGCCAAGCGTCGTAGTTTCGGTCCTTGAGCCGCTGCTGCTTGACCTTCCACTTGGCGTCCTGCTCGCTCTTGCGCTCTTTGTAGCTGTCGTACAGGTCGTCGAGCGTGCCCTCGAGCGCGGCGGTGCGGCGCTCCCTCTCCTCGTCGGACGAGAGGACTTCGTCGTCGTCCTCCTCTTGCTCGACCTCGGACTCCTCAGACTCGGACATACCATCCGCGTCCCGGACGGCATCCTCGATCGATCGGCCAGTGCGGTTCTCGCGCTCGCCCTCGCCCAGATCGAACATCTCCTCACCTGCCAGCTCCCGGTCGTCCATGTCCAGGTCTGTCGGGGCCGTCATGCCGAGCTGCAGCTTCTGGATCGTCTTGGTCTTGATCTCGTTCTTGCGCTTCTTCTCGCGCTTCTGCTTCGCACGCTTCTCCTCGTGCAAACGCTTCAGCTCCTCTGAGATCTGCTGCTCCTCGTCCATCTCCTCCACTTCGACGTCCTCAGTAGCCTCCTCGGTCTTGCTGGCCTTGACGTCGAGACCGATCTCGAGGCGAATCGCGAGTCGCCACTTCATCAGAGCCTTGAAGTCACCCTTGCCGAGCACCTTCAGGTCCTCAAAGTTTGAGACAATGTCCGGCGTCGTGTGTCGTGACCTTCAGCCACTCCTTCTCCTCCTCGGTCTCGAACGCAATCTTGTTCATCGTACCGAGGATCGCGACCGGGTCTCCGCGCACGAAGTCGGAAGCGCTCGCCTTGTGGAACAGCGTGTAGTCTCCGTCGGCGTAACCCTCACGCTGACGGCGCTTCTTCTCGGGAGCGTAAACATTGGCGTGCGCGTGGTTGTTCGTGGCAGCGAGACGAGCAGCGGCGTTGGCAGCCTTGGCGGTCGAGGCCATGGTGGCAGCAGTTGAGGCCTCCTCGGCGGGAGCCTCGGTGATAGAGGCGGGGAGCGACGACTGGAGATCCTTGAAGACGTGCTTGGGGTCGAGGAACTTGGGGTCGATGTGCTTGGGCGCAATGAAGTCACGGCAGACGACGAAGATCTCGGCGGAGACGTTACGCGACGAAGGCGGCTTGGTGGCCTCGACGTGACGGAAGAGCTGGTTGAAGACCCACATGAGCGAATTGTAGTCTTGCGATCGGAACACCTTGGTGACAAAGTTGCCGCCCTTGACGAGGAACTCGGTGGCGAGACGAAGCGACTGAAGCACAAGCTCGTTCTGCGAGAAAGCGTCCTGCACCCATGCAGCACCGACGTTCGGCGCACCGTCGTGCAGCACCAGATCCGCCTTCCAGTCGTGCATGTGCTGGCGGAGCTCGTTGCGACACTTTGGCGTCGTAATGTCGGCCTGGAATGCGATGACATGGGGCAGCGGTTTGATGGGCATCAGGTCGACACCGATAATGAGAGAGCCCTTCGGCATGTACTTCTCAGCAACCTGAAGCCAACCTCCGGGGGCAGCACACAAATCGATACAACATTTCGCGTTCGAGAGAAGATCGTACTTGCGGTTCAGGTGGATAAGCTTGCTGGATGGTCAGTTGTATGTCGCTGGCCGGAAACTCACAAAGCCGAACGGGCTCGGTAGCCCTGCTCCTTGGCAAGTCTGTAGAACTTGTCAAGACGTCCCTTTCCGGACTTCTTGTCGTGTTTTCCCATTGTTGCGGGATGTGACTGAGATGGTCACTTGAGATGAGTCGCTCGAGCGTTGTCACCGTAGCACGCTGTCTGGAAATTCTGAGGGTGAGTCGAGGGAAAACGGAGGGGTCACGTGCAAAGTCTGGGACGGGTGGCCAACGGACACCACGTGTGCATGTCCGCCATTGTAAACAAGCGCCAGGGTCGAGGCCGTGACGTACGCGCCTTCTTTTAGGGGACTGGCCCTCGAGTTTGATCCCGCGCCACTACATTGGCAAGGTCCAGAGACAAACAAGGACCGTCAAAACAAACACGCGGATAAGCTCAGCTCAGGACGACTGGGACATTACCTCTTCACATCGCCAGGTGCTTTTCCCAACAACCCCTCTGACCGTTGTGGTTTCTCTCCCTCTCTCTCATCACTCATCGATCGCAGACACAAATACTGCGTATCCATGGCCCCGTTCGACTAGTCACGCTACACCCCCGACAACCTAGTTCGACAACCCTTCCGACACGCTAATCACCAGCGCCACTCGACTTTCCTTTTCCCAACCCTGTTTTCTCATGGGCCAGGACGCTCCGAACACGAGCGACTCTGCGTCCTCCATCTATTCTTACTCTACCCGCCTACTCAGAAAGGAGTCTCACTCATCGACTCCTTCAGACCCCTCCGCCTACGAAGACAACACAGGTGGCCTTCGCCGTTCTGGCTCCGGCGCCATGTTCGGCACTCACTCTCGCGTCAACAAATCCGTTGACCTGGCCCGTGGGCGATGGGAAGCCAAGATTGAGGCTGCTAACGAGGACGGTTCCCAATCAACGTTGGAGCGCACCCCAAGCAAGGCTCGGCCGCGCAGCACGATGATCTCGTCACGCGCCGGAGCCTTTGCTGAGCCCGCCCAGGAGAAACAGCAGGCTGCTCCCAGTCCGGCGCGCGTAGGGGCGGAACGCTGAACGGCCTGGCGTCCCGATGGGAGACGCGGATTCAGGAGGCTGAGCCGTCACCGCTTGCGCGGTCTGGCTCGCTGCGGGCTGCCAAGTCCTCAGTTGCCCCTACCGCTTCCATGACCGAGCGTGACGAAACCACGGCTGAGGAGCCCACTACACCAGCTGAGCCTGTTCATCAGTCCGGCAAGGCCACTTCCGAGTGCTCTACTCCGGTCATGGCGCAGGAGCCGCCTGTCGCTGCTCCGACACCAGACAAATCGCAGGCCGCCGCGACCCCGGACAAGACCGCCACCGCTGCTTCCCCGGTGCCTGCTCCTCAGCAACGCTCGCGGCCCCAGTCCGTTGCTGATTTCTCCCCCGCCGCGGTTCCTCGCACACCTTCGTCACACAACCCCGAGGACACGCTGGCTGCGGCTCGAGCCAACGCCCTTCGTCGCCTCGAGGAACGCAAGAAGGCCGGTCTCGCCGTGGACGAGTTCAAGGTCGAGCTCGACCCACTGCCCGTATTTGCGCCTCCTGCCAATATCCCAACACTGGAGAAGATCTCCATCACCCATGTCATCCCGCAGGCACTTCCTCCGCCACCCGAGCCAACCATCATCAAGGCACTTCCTACGAAAAACAGCCTGTTCGACAGGTCCTTACCGCCACCCCCAACGAATCCACAAGAGCCCAAGTCCCGTACTGTCTCGGCGGAGAAGAGCTACACCCCTTCACCGTTGCCCAAGAGCCGCTCTATTGAGATCTCTACTCCTCCCAAGTCGGATGCAGAGCCTCTGCCACAGCTCAAGCCGGTCTCGAAGGAGCCAAAGGAGCCGGCTCCTAGCACTGATGTTGCTTCGACTTTGCCGAAGCTGCGACCGGTTTCGACTGCTCTCGACAACGGCAACAAGGAAAGCTCGACAGCGAAGTCTCTTCCTCAGCTGCGACCTGTGACGAAGGAGTCAAAGGAGCCGGTCTCGAAGCTCCCTGATACGGAAGCGGCGGGGACGCTGCGCCGCCTTCGACCGGTCTCCACCTTCCCCGAGTCTAAGGAGAGCAACGGCCAGGAAGAGCTCCCGAAGCTTCGCCCCGTTACAAAGAAGGAGGAGGGGTCCAAGAAGCCTCGCCCGCAGCCTGTCATGGCCACCATTGAACACGTTGAAGCACCCTCGCCACGAAGGCTGCGTCCGGTCTCCGGGAGTGGAGATATCCAGGACATCGCTGAGCCGAAAGAGGCGCCCCCTCTGCGCAAGCTGTGTCCCGCTTCGATGTTCGGTGACTCGCGAGCTTCACCGGAGCCTGTCGAGGCCCCTTCCATTCGCCGCCTCCGGCCAAACTCAATGTTTGGTGAGTCGAAGGGCTCTCCCGAGCAGCCGGAGATCCCTTCGATCCGCAGACTTCGTCCTGTCTCCCTGGTTAGCGACCCCCGCGACATCCCCGAGTCGCCATATGCTCAACAGCGCCTTCGCTCTACCCCGCCGAGCAAGACAGACATGTCGCCTCCAATCGCTGCCAATGGAAAGTTCGAGGCACCTTCGCTGCGCAAGGTCAAGAGCAACACGAACACTGCGGAGCTGACTCCGCCCCGAGCGCTTCCTCAACCACCCCGGTCGCCCAGCCCCAGCCAGCTGGGACTTAACGACTACAGACACTCCAGCCCTGTCCGACCTGGTGCTTTGGAGGCCAAATTGTCCGACCTGTCGCTCGAGCCCGGCAGCCCTCGCAAATCGGTCCTTCTGCCTAAGAGTCCCGGTCGCGAAACTCCGCCTACGAAGTCGCCTCTCCGTCCCAAGTCGCCCACCAAGGAGGCGTACACGAAGGTTTTGCGGCCCAAGACGCCCACTCGGGAGGCTATTACCCCCGAGCCCCGCTCGCCTATGGTCGCAAGCACCAGTGCGGCTGCCACTCCTGAACGTCAAGTGCAGCGACCTGTTCAGAACGGCACGCCTACCAAGCAAACTCCCTTGAAGCCGTCGCCCTTTAACTCGCCATTCGGCAAGAACGAGGCCCCCCTCAAGTCTGTGATCCCCCAGTCTCTCAAGTCCGAGGCTCCTCAAGACAGCCCGAGCCCTTCCAAGAAGTTCGCTGGTCTTGAGTACCGCGCACCGACGGGCCCTCCCAAGGCTGGCTCTGTGTCGACTAACAACGTGTCGTCCTTAGCATCCCGCTTTGGTAGCCCCGATAAGAACGGAGCCGCGCCTGCGCCATCCCCGCGGTCTCGTATTCCATCGATGTCTAGCGATCGTCGTCGGCTTGGTAAGCACTTGCCTCGTATCGTGTCAGGCGACCAAGGCTGGGACGGGGATGCTTCGCGACGTGCTAGTGCCACTCGCAAGTCTTCTGGTCCCAGAAGTCGTAAAGTGTCAATGGCGACCAACATGTCTCCTTCCAAGGAGGAGAACACGCCCCCGCCTTCCCTCAACAACAGCGTTAACCAGCCGCCTACGCCTACCCCATCGAACCGACCGATATCGCCTCTCTCGCCGTCGACCACGGTCAACTCGCCGAGCAAGACGCTCTCCAACACGCCGGTGAAGAAGCTTCGACGCGACCTCGTCGGCACGATCCCCACCCGGCGCACAGAGGTGGCCGGAGCCGAGATGAAGAATCTCATGAGCGCGCTCGGCTCAACCCCGACCCGCGGGCCGAACGTGAAGAGCGGCCAAGGTGTCAGCGGCATGTCCAACCGCCTGCGCCTGTCGTCTCGTCTGCCTCTTTCTGCTTCCTCGGCTGAGCTGGCGCCGGCTCCCCTGCCTTCCAAGCGCCTCGCTGGCAACAACTGGATGGACAAGCAACGACATGCCATTGCAGCTTACGAGTACCTCTGTCACGTAGGTGAAGCCCAGCAGTGGATTGAGGGTTGTCTGGATGAGGAGCTCGACGTAGGTGTTACCGAAATGGAGGAAGGTCTCCGCGACGGTGTCATCCTTGCCAAGCTTGCCCGAGTCTTCCAGGGTGAGGAAGTTGTCAAGAAGATCTGGACCGAGGCCAAGCACCGCTTCCGTCAGACCGACAACATCAACTACTTCCTGGTCTTCATCCGCAGCGTCGGCATGCCCGAGACTTTCATCTTCGAGTTAACCGATCTCTACAACGCCAAGAACATCCCCAAGGTGATCTTCTGTATCCACGTTCTGTCCCATCTCCTCGCTCGTCTCGGGCGGGCTGAGCGCATGAACAACCTGGTTGGACAGTTCGAGTTCACGGGTGAGTAATGGTTCCTCTGAGTCTGGCTGACGTTCAGATGAGCAGCTCGCTGCCACTCAGAAGGGCATCCAGGGCGTTGCGATGCCAAATTTTCAACAGGCTGGGCAGAGTCTAGCTCAGGAGGCTGCCTGGGAGCCTGAAGAAGAGGAAGAAACCGAAGATGAGCGCCGTGACCGAGAGCTCCTCGAATGTGAGGACTCAGTTCTTGCCCTGCAGAACCACCTCCGCGGCGTGCTTGCCCGCCAGCGCAAGGCGCGCGTGAAGGCTCAACTGAAGCTGGCGGCTCCCATTATCGCCAAGCTCCAGGCTCAGGTTCGCGGCAATGTCTCTCGCCAGGCCATTAAGACTGAGCGCAAGAGCCACGACAAGCTTCAGAAATGGGCCACGCACCTGCAGGCCCTTGCTCGCGGCAACCTCGTTCGTAAGGGCTGGAAGCAATACGTCGCGAGCGTTCGTGGCGTCGAGCAGCCTATCGTCGGCATCCAGGCGCATGCCCGAGGTCGACTCGCCCGCATGCGGGCCGCAGTTCGTGCAAAGGAGCTTCAGCGGGTTTCTCACATGATGGGAGGTCTGCAAGCTACCTGCCGCGGCCGCCTCGTCCGCCAGAGCATCAAGCAGGACCGCGTCGCCATCACCAAACCGGAGGTAAGCTCGGCTATCACCACCCTCCAGGCTATCGCTCGTGGACGCCTCCAGCGCAATACCCTCCGAAACGAGCTCCGTGCTGTTCATGGCCATCTGCCCACTTTCGTCGGTATGCAGAGCCACCTTCGCGGTATGCTTGTTCGCCGTCGCCAGAAGGCTCAGGAGAAGCGTCTGGACGATGCCACCGACTACGTCGTGGCAATCCAGGCCACCGCCCGAGGCTGCATCGCCCGCCGACGGAAGCGTGTCTTCGCCGACGCCGCTGTTCAGCTTGCACCTTCGGTCTCTTCTTTCCAGGCTCTCGCTCGTGGTCGCCTCGCCCAAAAGCAGCACCAAAACATGCAGAAGGCGCTCGCCAAGGTCGAAGTAGCTGGATCGATCGGTGGTCTCCAGTCGTTCCTTCGTACAAAGCTTGCGAAGAAGCAGACGCACGAGCAGAAGAAGAAGCTCGAGTTTGTCCAGCCTGACGTTGTCGGCTTCCAGGCGGTCGCTCGTGGTTACCTCGCGCGGAGGGAGTACTTCGAGTGGCGCGACTACCTCATCGACCCCCACACACAGGGTGCTCTCATCTTCCTGCAGTCGCTCTCCCGAGGTTTCATCCAGCGTAGGAAGTACTGGTTGCGCCTGTCCTACCTGTATAACAACCAGGACAAGATCACCAAGATCCAGGCTCTGTGGCGTGGTCGCCAGCAGCGCCAAATGTACGAGCGCCTTATCACCGGTCACGGAGTCGACATCCCGACCATCCAGAACTACATGCACCTCCTGGACGACACGGAGACCGACTTTTACGACCAGCTCCGCATCGACGAGATGCGCAAGAGTGTTGTTGATCTCCTCCGAGTCAACCAGACGCTCGAGACTGAGGTTCAGGAGCTTGACACCAAGATCGCTCTCATCCTCAAGAACAAAATGTCCTTCGAGGACTTGGTGCGCGCCAAGCGCCGCCACGGTGTCGTCACCGAGGATGCCTTCCACCCTCCTGGTGGTGGTGACCCCTTCAGCAATATCCACCTGGACCGCCAGAGTCAGCGCAAGCTTGAGCTCTTCGAGCACCTTTTCTTCACATTGCAGACGCAGCCGCAGTACCTCTCTCGGCTGCTGCACAAGCTCTCAAACGAGGAGGACGAGGCTGACCGCCGACTCGTCGAGGCTGTCACCCTGATCCTCTTCGGCTTCGGCCACGACAAGCGCGAAGCGTATCTGTTCCACAAGTTCATTCAGATCTCTGTCCACGAGCAGATCCTGCGCTCGCGCAGCCTGGAGGATCTTGCCAACACGCGCTTCGCCATCACTTCGGTTACGACGCAGTTCATCAGGCCGACACTCGCCCCGTACCTGGTGAACGTGCTGCTGCCACACATCCAGCGTGTTGTGCAGGCCGAGGAGCTCGACTTGTCGACCGACCCCGTGGACATCTACAACCGATTCATTAACAGTGAGGAGAGTCTGACAGGTGTTAGAAGCACCCTGCCCAGAGGTCTCACTGCCGAGCAAGTCCTCCAAACCCACGGAGAGACTCGCGCTCTGTACATTCAACACCTCCAGGAGCTGCGCGCCCTCACCGACATGGTTGCCAAGTCGATCATGGCTTCCATCCCGCAGATGCCGTACGCGCTGCGCCTCATGGCCCGCGAGGCCCTGTTCGCGCTCCGTGTTCGCTACCAGTGCGATGACAGCCTTCTCTGGCCCGTCGTTGCGAAGGCGGTCGTCATGCCCTTCATCCTGCCGGCCATTGCGGCTCCCGAGACATATGGCATCGCCGAAAACGTCAACCCTGTCATGCGCCGCAACCTGAACGCCATCGCACACCTGCTCGGCCTCATCGCCTCCCAGGACTTAGGCTTAACGGTCAAGGACAGGCTTGTGCGGGAGCCTCTGCAGGAGTACATCCGCGTCGCAGGCAAAGAGATGAGCGACTTCATCTTCGACGTTGCCGAGGTCGACTTCCAGGTGCAGGAGATGCTCGAGAGCACTTCGGAGGCGACTCCGATCAGCATCACGCGGAAGGACATTTACGGCCTGCTCGCCATCCTTATACGCCACCAGCAGACCATTACGGCTGGCAAGCCTAAGGACCCCATCGAGAGTGTGCTCGACCAGCTCGAGGGACCGCCCATCGACTACGATCGCAGCAACGCCACTGTTCGTGTGCGATTGACGAACCGTCTCGCCCAGCTTCAGACGTCTGACCCAGAGGTCGCGCGCGTCCGTGAACTTGAGTCTCAGGCGAAGCGCCACGTGCTCGCCGTCCTCCGCGTCCAGACCGGCAAGGACCTGTACGAGGTTCTGCTTTCGCACCCCACCGAGGCGGATGAGAACCGATGGGTTTATGAGGTGCACCGTGACATTGCCCTCGAGCAGGCGCGACGAGAGCGCCACGACCTACCGCCGACTCCAGAGGAGGCCGAGTATCAGATGGAGAGCATCCGCTCCCTTCCATTCCACGAGGTCAAGTCGCGAGCGATCGAGTTCTGCATGGCGCTCGTCGAGCTCGGCAAGCTGTCGCGTGAAGACCACCTGCAGGGTCTTCTGGTGTCTATCGCGTGCGACATCCGCGAGAAGCACCGCCTGCGTCAGAAGCGCAAGGTGGACCTTGCGGCTATGAGCGAGGCGCAGGCGCATCTGACGGAGAAGCGCTCAAAGTTCGATGAGCAGATCCAGTCGTACCACGACTACATAGACACGTCGATGGCGGCGCTGCAGCAGAAGAAGAAGGCGCCGATCCTGTCCAAGCAGTACTGGCGCACGTTCGGCGGCAAGAAGTCCAAGTTTGGCACGTACAAGTACTCTGCCGCCGAGCTGTACGAGAAGGGCATCCTTCTCAGTGTGGCGCAGTTCAGCCCGCGCCAGTTCGACAAGCTGCACGTTATTATCAGCTCGAACGACGTCGGTGTGGTTACGCTCGAGATGACGGGACACGGAAACGCGTACATTGGCAAGGAGGAGATGCGCATGGAGGACCTGCTCCAGGCGCAGTTCGACAACAATGTCCGTCTCGACCTCTTCGACAGCATCGCCGCGTTCAACCTGAACACGCTCATCCACCAAATCAACAAAAAGTTCTACTCCGCGTAAGCGTGAGAGGAGAAGAAGTGAAAACGAATGAGTAGGAGGAAAGAAGAAAGATAGTCATAGCACGCACAGCATTAGAAGAGAGTTTCGAGAATAATATTGTATCAGTGCTCATATGTAATGCCTCCATGAACAGACAGTTCTTGAGTGACATGTTGCAACTGTTGCATTACGTTTCAAGACGTGGAAGAAACTTCGAACCTATCTAGGCTAGTCTACGCTGGTCAACTACGCTCGCACCGCCCACTTTCGTCCTTCCCCACGGTCGTCTAGTATCTCCGTCCGTACCCTGCCGGCGGGCCGCGCGCCGGCGGTACCGGCCTGTTGCCCGTGCCGTTCGCAGCGATATTGCTGAAGAGGCCAATAATGTCGTCGGGCCTGAACACGGGTCCGTCAAAGCTGCGCGTGGGCGGGAGTTGGCCGATGAACCACGCGAGCTGGTTCGGGAGTCCGGAGCGGTGGACGGCGGGCGTGGGCGCGGCGCGCGGCGGCGCACGCGGCGGCAT